TAGGGTTTAGGGGTTTAGGGACCCTTGAATGGAGCCTTTATGGTCGCTATTAATTTAAGCTATCCTACGGGTTAAATTGGGGGGGTCGAGGTTCATTAGACTCGGGCCTTGCCTTGGTGGAATACTTTTGTGCCCTACTGCTAGGCTCTATATAATCCAAAGTAGCACCACATTTTTGTTGGCTCTTCGAAGTTTTTGACAGGTTGTAGCACATAAGGTCATAGGATCCTTTTGAGAGAGAGATAACTAAAAGTCCTAGCTAGTTCCTACAAGAACCCCCCAGCAAAACATGCTAAGCCCTAAACTCCAGACGCCTTTTGTCCCCAAGCCCTAAACCTCAAACCCCTCGGTCCCACATAGAACCCGTTCGATTCAACTCCAAACCCTAAGAAGCCTTTTGATTCCATAACTACAAGCAACCCTAAGCCTAAACCCCATCAGGAAGGAAACACAAACACCCCTAAACACTAAACCCTGTAAACCCCAAATACTATAGACCCTAAACCCTCGTTGCGGCCTTGTGGTTCGCCGCGCCATGTGGCCCAGGCTCATGCCAGTCGCACGCCGCGAGCACCACTCCATCGTTTGCCATGGTGAAGCCGTTGTCCTTTTAGGGTTTAGGGCTCTGTTTTAAAAGGCGCGGGATTTTAGGAGGTGCGTGTTCTTATAGTCAGGCTTAAAGCTTTTGGTTGCTGGGCTTTTCGGTGTCTATCAGGGCATGTGCGAAGTTGCCGCTTCATCAAACCAACGCTCCATGGCTCATTTTTGCACAAAGTCTAACATAACCGTAAAAACCTAAAAACCTCTTTAATTTATTGTTGAACCCAGGCTCCTAACCTCTTAATCCTATAACCTAAACCCCTTTTGCATCCAAGCCTATTGCGACTGCCGGTAACCTAAACCCCTAAACCCCTAAACCCTAAACCCCTAAACCCTAAACCCTAAACCCTAAACCCTAAACCCTAAACCCTAAACCCTAAAACCCTAAAACCCTAAAGCCCGAAAGCCCTGCTTCCCCCTCAAGGAGAAAAGGAGGCGTCCTGCCCAATCTCCTCAGCGACCTGGGTCTTCCAAACCACCTCGCCCTTCTCCATGTCCTCTGGGCGATTTTTGTTGCCTCCTACTTAGGGTTTAGGGTTTAGGGTCCCCTTTGGGCCATTTCGAGCGGAGAAGTGTGTTTTATTTTGAACTCGTTTTGGTTAGGGTTTAGGGTTCAGGGTTTAGGGGCAGTGGCTTGTCCTGCATTAGGAAGGCGGAGGTTTTAGGGTCGCAGGGTTTTGGAGGGTTTGGGGTTTTTTGACACCCACACTCGGGCAAGCCTGGCAAGGTCTGCTGCAAAACTGATTCGGGTTTAAGGGTATATAGGCTTTACCCTAAACCCGAAACCCAAAGCCCTAGCCCTAAAGCCTAAACCCTAAAACCCTAAACAGAGTTTGGGGGCCTAGTCGGTTTATGCTCGGCGGGTCTCTCGGTTCGCGTTCGCGCTAAGGGTTTAGGTTTTTAGGGTTTAAGAAAAGGGTTTACGCTCTCGCAACTCGGACTCCGCCAGACGAGGTCTCGTCCAACTAGACTAAGCAACTAGATCTCAGTGATTGGTTTAGGGTTCAGAGCTCAGGGCTTCAGGGATGTACTGAGTTGTCTCGGCACTATTATCACCACCCGCCCCCTCCCCGCCAAAATGCGCCCTAAAACCCTAAGCCTGACAAGTTATCCCGAAGCAAGAGCCAGCTGGAGAGGTCCAGAGCGACGACATTCCCTTTGGTGTCGCTGCCAAACACCTTGCCGTCGTAGAGGGAGGGAGCATCCATCATCTCTGCCGGTAGGGAGATGTGTTCCCTGAGATTGCCAGGGACTCTTCAACCCTGCACCTCCAAACCCCAAATCCCAGACTCTTAGACCCGAAACAGACTCTTAGACCCGAAACAGTATACTGTAGGGGCCTCAAGAACTAGACTAGGGTCCTCTTATTTTACTTGTACTAGAACATACCCCCAAACCCTATTCTAATTATTAAGGCCCCTATATTACACTAAAATCCCAAATCGCTCTTTGGGCTTGGCTTCTGGCCTAAACCCTAAACCCTAAACCCTTTTTTACACTTAGATCCGCCGTGTTCTGGAGAGTTTGGGTTACGCGTGCAAGCCACGCCTTCCTATCCTCTGTTAAGGGGTTTAGGGCCTAGTTTAGGGTTTTGGGTTTAGGGTGTAGGGTTTAAAGTTCAGGGTTTAGGGTTTAAAGTTTTGGGTTTCGGTTTCAGGGTTTTTTGTGGCTCAGGGCTGTTAGAGGTTAGGGTTGGTTCGGGTTCAGAGATCAGTGGTGAGATTGACATGTTAGTGACTAGGCTCTTTCTTGAGTTCAGGATTTAGGGTTTCCTGCTTTGACCATAAACCGTTTAGTCACGAACATGAAGTAGTTTGGAGAGTATGCTGAGCTATACGTGAGACTTACCTGGCGGATTAACTTCCAATGTCTCCTTTACGAGTTTGGTGGCACGCTGCTGACGTTTCGGGCCTGCCCCAGACCCTAAACCTCTGAGGGGGCCTATCAGTTTAGGGTTTCGGGTCTCGGAAGGCCTATCATGCCTGAAAAGAAGCGGGAATTTCTACACCCCAAACCCCCATGCCCTATAGGCCACAAACAAAAACCGGCGGGGGACCAGAGCTGCTTGCCATGCTTATCGAACTTTCGCACCCCGTCCGCACCGGAGAGGTAGACGTTGCCTGGACAGGTTTTCTAGGCCGTTTTGGGCCGTTTAGTTAAGGGTGTTAGGGCATCTGTTGTTTTTGGGGCTGTTGCTCAGAGGGCGAACCTTGCGCTTTTGGAAGTTTGTAGGAGCTCCATGGGGAGTTCAGGTCACTACTTACACAGTAGGCCTTCTGAAATTCGCAGTGGAATTCTTGAACTGACTCAGATTTTGAGCAAACTAGCTATAGGAGTTTGGGGGTCGGGTTGAACGGAACCAGCAGTTATTTATAAAGTTGGGAATGGAACCAAAGGTATCACGGCGGCTAAGGGTTGAGGGTTTATAGGGGTGTGAGGAGGTGTATTCCCTATAAACTGTAAACCCCAAACGGATGATCGGACGAATGTTCGCAGGGGGCTTGGCTAGTAGGTCTGACAATAAAAGCAGGAACTAAAACCTCACAGCGACAGCACATGGGGCGTGTGAAGCATCAGGGGACATTACAGATACCATGCAAGCATTTGCTTAACATTTCCGGTCTATACATCGGATCATGAACGCCTGAATACAAAGTACTGCTGGCTCTATTTTACTTCCAAGTTTGACAAAATTGCTTGAGCTTCCAAACAAGATTGAGGGTTTACGCGAACCCACGTGAGAAGTTGGTTGAATCCCAAAGACAGACCATGCCTGCAACCACATTATCCACCGAACCTATCTTCCAAATCCCAAAGAAGGTGGTAGGTAAACTATGTCTCGCCCATAGTCGTGTGAGGGCTGATTTTGTCGTGAAGGCGAGTTGCGCATGTGGTCGATCGCCGTTCCATAGGTCAACGTTGCGAACCTCCGTGCCATTGAAGGAGCCCTCCCTATAGCTCCCTTCATAAAGCCCTAAAGCCACAAAGCTTACCTTTCTAGAACTGTACACGGTGTGTGCAGCAGAAACACGTTAGTCGGGCTACAAGCATAGCTATAGTTTCACATGGAAGGTAGCAACCTGATAAGCGCAAGTGCGCCTGGAAGGTGTGAGTCAACGAAAACTGGCCCCTGTGAGGTATCAAACGGGATAACAAAGCCTGTGATCCTTGCAAGATCTTGGACGGAAACCACCTACTTCTTCATAGGGTCTTTGTACAAAAGCCAGAACAAAAATCGAGGAGAGAGCCCAATAGCCCTGAATTGCGGAAGATGCGTGGAAGCATGCGGAGGGGCTGCTCTGAAGTTTACGGAACACTCTGGGGCTCTGGGTTCAGGGTTTAGGGGTTTAGGGTTTAGGGTTTAGGGTTTAGGGTTTAGGGTTCAGGGTTTAGGGGTTTAGGGTTTGGGTTCTGGCAGTTCAAGCTCACCAGTATGCTGACACCCGGCCTTCCATCAGGGTGGGACCAATTCCACGCATGCTTGTGCGCAAGGTCAAAGGGTGCTGAGGCGCTGGAGACGGCATAGTCCGGGAAGTTCCCGCGCCCCGACGACCAGTGGTATACATCGGCCTCTTCGAATGGAAAGTCTGGAGATGGAGTAATTATAATTATAGCGGCCTGAATAGTTCCATGGTATATGGTTTTAGATGGCCAAAGTATAGTCTTTATTGATGTTCGGCCCTTTGAATTAAGTTCATGGAATGTGCGGTATCACACTACGGGCCTGATTGCGTTCACATCTACTCTAAGGTAAGGACCATGGGCCCCTAGTATGGGCCCTTAACCCTGGGACCCTAGAATCCCCTAAGGGCCCATGTTTTCGGGCCCATGGGTTCAACCTTAGATCTACGGTGGGTGCGCCTTCTTCGGCCCGCTGCTTTCACGCGCGTGCGCTTTTGCCTGCAGCATTGAGAGGCCCGGCCTGTCTCCGTCCTTGCCTCAGTCATGCGCTGTACACTACCTTAAGAACCCAAAACCTACTTTTTTTGTAGGGTCCCTATAAATCCCATATTATTAGGGTGTATAATAATAACCTACAAAAAAGTGGGTTTTGGGTTCTTAAGGTACACTTCGGGGTTTAGGGTTTAGGATGTTGGGCTTCTTGCGAGACTCCGACTCCCCTTACCCTTTTGCATCCGGGCTTGTGACTCCCCTTACCCTAAACCCTAAACCCTAAACCCTAAACCTACGGATCTGCCGACAATGTGAAGGGCATTCCTTAAGTGTGGTGTGTGGGAGTCTCTGGGTCAGGGGCTTTGGGCGTTGCTGTCAAGGCTCTGCGACTACGCACTACGCTTCAAGACACAACCCTACTTGTCCAGTATCATGGGGAACTAAAGGTTAACCTTTTAAGGGTTAATAGGAATTATAATTATAGTACCCCAAAAAGGTTAAAGGTTACCTTCTCTACTACTAAGCAACAGATCCTGAGGCTGAGCCTTCCTAGGCAAGCATTCCATCCCATATTCACCAACAACATGAAACAAAACGCGGGTTGGGGTCTTGGGCCAGTGTTGGGCTGTTCGCAACATCCTAAATCCTTCGTATAGTCTATCTAGACCTGTTTGTATATACGTATAAGTAAGCCGTTCCCTTCGCACAGGGCATGCCGAATGCAAAACCCACAGCTCAAGTATTAACAGAACCCAACATAAAACTATGAACACTATACCTCGACATGCCTACGTCGAAAAATGACACCTATTCGAACAATCCATGCGGGCCAAATGCACAACAACTAGCATGTAGAGGCTTTGATCAATTTCAAACAGACCTTAACCTGTAACGGTTCCCTAATCCGTCAAGGTGCTAAGACCAAAAACATAAGCCATGCAAACCCTCAAATCCTAAACCACATATGCCGAGAGCACCGAACCACGGATTTGCTGGCAGGTGGCAGTCTGCCTCCACTGCATCGCCCAAGCAGCATCCGACCGACACAGCGGCTAAGGAAGCCCAAATTCGCCGGGCCATTAGCTTCAAAATTTCGGCGAAAGCGAGGTGAAACCAAAAGTGTATATGAAAACACAGCCGAGGTCCTTCAGCCGAGACTGCGGCAGGAAGCCCTAATGACATCTGTGTGAGATCAAAATCGGAACCCAGTGACCCTCTAGCTAATCCTATACTGTACTATACTGTACAGTTACAGTACTACATACATCTACATACTTTATATACTGTACACTCTTTGCTCTGTACTCCAAACTCTGTACAGTCTAAAGAATTTATTCTCCACTATCTACTATCTACGACCTTATACTATACTGTATATATATCTTCTCTGGCAGAATCAGGGCATAAACAAAAGTGACCAAACCCAAAGTCTAGTCTCGTGGCTCTGGAAGAACTGAGTTCGGGAACATGATTGGGCGTGATCTAGACCATAATTGGGCGTGATCTAGACCCTGTTAGGGGATGGGGTTTGGAGTTGAGGGCTTTTAACGACCCTACTGATGGCAGCCCCTGACAAAAGCTGTGAACCACTAGAAGAACGCCCGCCCGCAAAAGGTACCCAGAAACCCGTATAAGCAGCTTTCATCATCAAACTCCCACATCGCCCGGTCGCCCACAAAACTGCATCGCCGCGCGCGAAGCCGCCCTAGGCTCTTGACAGCTGCTGTTTTTGTCGCGCTTTAAGGTTTCCGGCTTTACTGCTTTGGAGTCTTGGGATTCGGGTCTCAGGACTGAGGACTTTGAAGTTTGCACAAGGCAGGAAGGGCTTCACGACGACTGGCCCAACCTACAACAACAGCACATGGACATAGAATTACCCTAGGCCCCAGGGTTTAGCTTGTCGGATTTTAACTTTTGGGTTCGGTGTTATGATGCAGAGGTCTTGGTCTGACTGACCTGATACTGCCACGGATGCAAGCGAGGCACAACAAACTTGAGTACATGAGACGAAAGATGTGAAGAAGAAAAGTTGACCTAGGTCGGCACTAAATGTATTAAATACTGCAGGCATTCAGGCGGAATACAGGGGCTATGCTAGAAACAGCTTGGGAACAATGTCGCTGCTGAGAAGCTATTGATGCATGTTTCAGTTGTGCCTAACCTTGCAGCCAGTACTTGGCTGATGCTTAGGCAGACTACAACCGGGCATCGGAATGATCATGCGGAATGAATGTGCGGGTCAGGCAGAAGTGCACAAGCACTTGGACGTGACAAACGCTGGGACCTTTACGACTTCCCATTCATAACACACGCGGCTGGGAACTCATGTGCCGGCAGCAGTCGGGGAGCCCAAACGAAAACAACAAAAGTTTTGCTGCATCCAAGCCATGGCTGCTCCAGTACTCAGCACCCCACAGCCCATCTCATTCCGTTGGTATGCCTGCCACAACAGCCCGCGCGCGCTCCGCACGCCCTGAACCAAGAACCAACATCCGCCTCCACAGCCGAAGCTGCAAAAGCATCCCAACACCCTTCATACCCTATCTGATCCAGTGTTAGTTTCCAATCTCCGAATGCAGCCTACCACTGTAACAACCATACCACCACGCCAAACCCCAGCTACACCAACCTAGAGCCGAACCCCAGGCCCTTGCCCAAACACGACAAGGTCTTGCTGACTAGATGTGTGATTGCATATGGGTGACTAAGAGAGCTGCACCCCCGTAAACCCAAAACACTCGGCGACTTGAACCGCCCCCTTTTAGGCTAAACAGGCAGAACCCTAAACTCCTAAACATTAGGGTGCTGGTACCCAAGGGAGCACACCCCGACGTAGAGACCACAGAGTCCTCAAACATACCCTCAGTTTTAGGGTTTAGGGTTTAGGGTATGCATGACCCCGGATGGTCAAGACAGGAAAGAGTTCTTCGGCCTCTCGGGCAGAATCTGCAACCGACTTGGCAAGACCTTGCCAGCTCCAACCCGGGTGAGGGCTTGAGTCTACGCTTGCGGGCTTTGGGTTTAGGGTTTATAGGGTTTAGAGTTTAGGGCTTAGGGTTTAGAGTGTTGTAGGTTTTGGTTTTCGGGTTTTGGTTCTTTAGGGTTGTGGCTCCACTCACCTACCAGTTCGGCTTAAAGGGCTAATTAGACACGACAACAAAGGGCCTCATGACCCTCTCTACGTAGGGTTTGCCAAAGTGTGTCGTTTCTATCGGAACGGGGGCCTTACTACTACAGCACAGGGGCCATCCTCAGGGGTTCCGCCTAACAAGGATGCAACTATGTAGGGCTCTATGTTTCGATCCCCTTACAGTGCTCTCTGAACGTCATAGGAGTTGCAGGGTCGTTCAAGGGCTTCAGGGGTTTGCGGTGAGAAGAGCTAAAGTTCTCAGAAGGCTGTTGGGGCCCCGTTTCGGGCTAGGGCTTGGGTGTGAGGGATCAGGGTTTAGGGTGCTTCATGTATAGGGGCCTTCGTAATTAGAATATGGTTTTGGGGGGCTTCCTTCAAATAATTTCCTCCATACCCTACTCTAAAAATTCAGGCCCCTACCAGTAAACCCTAAACCGTAAACCCGTATATTAGTTGCTTTAGATGAGCCTTCGACTTGGGTCTAGGGTTCGGGGCAGAGGACTCGAGTCCTGGTCTCACTGCTTCGAGTATATGCTTTGGTTTAGGGTTTAGGGTTTAGGGTTTAGGGTTTGGGGTTTGGGGTTTAGGGTTTAGGGTTTAGGGTTTAGGGTTTAGGGTTTGGGGTTTAGGGTTTAGGGTTTTTAGGGTTCAGGGCTTGGGACA